GGCTGCAGCTCCCTGCTGTAGCCACCAGGGACTGCTCGAATCATCAAAGCTCTCCAAATCTTTTCCAAAAATTCAGAGAGCTTCAAATTGATTTGGACCTTTTAATTGGTCCCCTGATTCGATTCAGAGATTTGGTCACCGAATCAGGCTGAATCTCCTCCAAATCAAATCACCACCCAAAGCTCTGCACAGCCCTAATACATACCACATGGGCAGCCTGCATGTGTGGCATGTGACAGATCAGGGAGGGGAGAGGCAGCACAGCAGCAGATAGGACAGGGAACAGAAAACAGAGCAGCAGATTGGTCGGGGGAAGGGAATTATAGTGGCATTTGGAGAGCTAATGTGGGGCTCATACATGGCATGCCTGCCAAAAAGGCTGCCCCCTACTGACCTATTTAAACATAGCTGGAAGAACCCAGTGGTAGTTCCTGCCTCCCCAAATATAACAGATAAACTCTGCCAATGGCTTTGGGAGAAATCATTTACAAACACAGTCCCTTTTTGGCACAACAGAGCCACAAGATAAATCTCACATGGGGACCAGAGTCTGTGAACTCAATTCCAGGCCATGGCCAAGCCAAGTGGTACAGTCCCGATAAGTGAAATAAAGGCTGTGTGTCACCTTTCTGCATCCTGGATTCTGGGGGTGTCTTTGGGACTGGAGCAGCTCCAGAGACTGCTCTAACTTATGCTGCCACAGAATAATCAGAGACCACTCTGGAGCTTTGCCTCCTCTGGTTGGCATCTATGCCAATGAATGCAAGTGGAGTAGAGCTCTATTGCAGGCCCTGTGGCACTGGGGAAATCTCACTGACACTGGGGGTAGTCCCCAGTAAGAAGATCCATCCCCTGTACATCCACAGAACCAGCCTATAGGAATGCAGCAAGGACTGTAAACATACACACATCACCTCTGCACAGGGCTGGCTGCTGGGTACTTACCTCATTAACGCTGACATTGTATCCAAAGAGATTTTCAATAACTGGTGGGTTATCATTAACATCCAAGATATTAACTCTTAAGATGTGATCATTTTTCTGGGGTGGTACTCCATTGTCAGATGCCTGGATCTACGGTGAAGCACAGTTGTTATTCCTGGATAGAAACTCATTGCTTGGGTCATTCCTTGGTAAAAAAAACAAAACAAGGCCCCTTCCCACAAGGTAAAAAAAAAAAAATACAAAGCCAGAAAAGAAAAAACATTACCAAAATAGGCACTGTCCAGAAAATCAAACTTGAAATTTTGATTTTTACATTAAAGGAAAATGCCTCAGTCAAATCTAAGGGATATAATGGCAGTAACTGATGGGAATAAAACTGAATTTTAAAAATATTGTGATTTCAGAGGTGACCCCTTTCTTCATTCTACTGCCAAGCAAACAATGAAATATTTGTGGCTGCTTCACACATTACAAAAAACACAGCAAATTCTATGATTCCCACTAAATGTGTTGGTGTTCCTCCTCATACAGCACTTTCTACTGTGAAAATGAACTTGCTGGGTTCTTAAACGTGTCACCTTTTCTATTTTTGTTGCTAACCAAAACCAATACAGAATGAAAAAAAACCCGGTCTATCTAGTAAGCTCTGAGCAGAGGTATTGTGGCTGCCACCTTGGAAGTGGATGAGAGAACAAATACATATCTGATTATTAGTCTTTGCCTCCTGAATTCATGAAAGGTGCTCAGTTAGTAAGGTGATGAGCACAGCATAAGGATATTCTGGGACAGACACCTGTCTGGATATAGCTGCTGTAGTACCATTTTGTGCTGCCACCTGGAAATCCAGTTTTTAAAAATTGCAGGCTGTAAATAACCACGTTACAAAAGGAGTCAATGTGCAATGATTTAAATATATCCTATAATAAAGTCTTCACAGCAAATTAAAACACTGCATCATACTATATGCCTATTTTTATACACAGATGTGCAGTATTTTGTACAAAATACATATTTTTGGTGCGGAAAATTTCCTAGAGATTGTGCTAACCAACCACAGAGTACTTCTGTAGTATCACATGAATCACAGAGTCAGAGAAAGTACAGTAATATCAAGCTTAAACCACTAAATGCAGCTTTTCATGGCACCATCAGACAAGAGGGACAGTCTCTTTGCCTGCTCCCAGAGAACAACGCATTTTGCAGAGAATGCAGCTATGATGGTGAGAAGATCCCAGTTACCCTTAAGGTGTAGCGATCCAGTAGTTCTCTGTCCAGTGGCTTAGCCACAAACACCTCTCCATAGGTATTGTTGGTGGTGTGGATCTCAAAGACATGGCCTATATTTCCTGATATCAGAGAAAAAGTCACCTGCAAAAAAGGAAATACATAATGGAATTCTGGGAATGAGGATGGAAAATGATAAGAAACACAGTCATTACAATAAAGTAAAACAAAAATGCCTAGCTCTTATACAGTGCTTCTCAGAAGATATCACAGTGCTTTACAAAGTATATCGTCTAGCAGACTGGATACCTAAGGCATAGAATAGGGAAGTGATTTGCCCAGCATCACCTGGAAAACAACTGGCAGAGCTAGGAGTTGAATTTAGGTCTCCTGAGTTTCAGATCAGTGTCCACTAGGTCATCCCACCTCCTTGAACAAAGAGTTCAATCCTTGCTAAATCTAGCTCCTGCTTCTCCTTTGGCTAAAAATCCGCTAATGAAACAGCCTCCCTTAGAGTGTTCTGGTATATGTGCTTCTAGTTGTTACCAGAACCAGAAAGCGTAACATTAATCAAAATAAGTTTTTGAAATGGTACAACAATTTTGTTGTGAAAGTTCTCAGTACTCTGGGTTTAAGAAAGTTTTTAAACTACCACATTTTCCTCATCGTTACTCTGTAAAATCAGATGCTCCAGGGTTTCAGTGATACTCTACCTAGTTGAGGCTGACATTGAGGCATAGAGATACTGAATTCAAATTCTGAATTAAATTCTGCTCTTATTGGGGCCTGATCCTACGGATACTATTTCACCTTTATTATTAGTTTTACGTAGTGCATGACAGGTGCTTTCCAAACACTACAGAAGGATATTTGCAGATGGAAGACTTCACAATTCCAAAGCATCACCTAACTTCACTAGGCTTTCACATTGCCTCTGAGATGGGCAAAAATGTATTCAGTAAGGTTATTGTGGACATACACTGCTGCAACAGAGAGCAGGATAAGGCTAATTAATTCTGTGTGAAAAGTTGCTCTAGAAGGTCAGAGCAGTTGATTAATTCTACTATTGTATTAAAGAAAATAACAAAATGGAGAGAGCTTCCTGTTTCAATCTTAATATAACTTCCCTGATGTCCATTGTGGGGTGGGACACCAACATCTGTTTTTCTGATTTTCAGACCCATTGTCACACATGGCAGTTGTCACAGCTTTTCTAGCACCAAAGGGAATTAATTTGTTATTCTTCCTCCATCACCTTTTACAGCTGCAAACCAGATTTACCCCTACCTATTACATTTGCCATTAGCCATTCCAAACTACAAGACGACCTTAAGGGTTATGGTCTTTGTAAGAGTCATAATTCATTACACTGAGTTTAGAGACACTAGAGAGGTGAGGGATTTCAAAAGCATTCACTGAGGAGGTGCTAGATACATCTGGCCTAACAAATATTAATGGGGCTTTTCAGAATCATCAGAAAAGGTTTTTGTTCTCAGGATATACAGGCATGATGCACAAAAAGCAGACACTCTGAGGCATAAATTAGGATCTAACTCCTCTACCTCACTTCCTGAAGCTGGCTCTGCTCAGAGTCCCTGGCTAGCAGTCATATGTTCACATCAATAGCCCACACATTCTCATGATGGGAAAGAAAATATTCCCTAAGAAACAGGGAGAAGCAGAATCTGTCCCCTACATTTCATCTGCTTCAGCCACCTTTCTGTGAGCCCCAATACAGTATGAAGCTGCAGAATTTTTGGTACCTGCCCATTGCTTCCAGCATCTGGGTCTCTGGCTAAGACTAATGCAATCCGCTTCCCAATGGCACAATCCTCTGGTACACTCACGGCTGAGTCCGAGGTGATGTCAAACTGCGGGCTGTTGTCATTCTCATCCAGGACAGTGATTGTTACCTGTTGAATGGTAGTCACGAGATTAATGAAGGCTATACTGAAACACAGTTCTGTACAGTCACCTTCCTGGGTGGAATGGGAGGGAGTGCCTACTGGAGTGAACCTGAGATATATGAAAAATGCCTTAATGATCATCAGCTGGCATTCCAGCTTTCCCTTCCCATATAACTGCACTTAGCTTTCAGGCTCTAGGTTACTGCAAGAACCTAGTTCTTTCCAAGTCTTGACAGCTGAAACTCGATCCATCTTAATATATAGGTCTCACTTCCCTTGTAACAGTGTGCACATGTGTGTATGTAAGACAGACAAATGGAGGGATGAAGACCAATGTAGTGCAGAAGTGAGTATGGCTTTTATCCTCTCAGTAGAAGGGGTTCTTTCTACTCAGAGCTCTCATTGCTAATACTGTCTAGCTAGATATACTATAGACCTGAGGTTGGTAACTTTGCTGTAACAGTGACCCGAATTAACACAGCTTGGTCCTCCTCAGGCTAGAGATGGCAGCTGAAGGGGGCAGTGCACCAGAGGTGGCAACTGACAGAAGGGGCCACTAGACGGTGCCATCTTGCACAATGTGCTTGGCAGGCCACACAAAATCCCTTTGCAGGCTGGATCCAGCCCACAGGCCATAGGTTGCTGCCCCTGCAATAGACCTATACCTGCCAGAGGACCCATCTCTGCTCAGCTTCCTGAAAATTCAGCTTGTGACTGATTAATCAAGTCTGCTGCACCATGCTGATTAGCGTGCTCCAGCAGCCTCCATGTCTCATGTATTCAGCGTCCCTGCACTTCAAAATGGCAGCGGGGGTACTTTAAAGTTTGTCAAATGAGCTTTAGTTAAAGTGCCCATGCTGCCATTTTGAAGTGCAGGATGCTGAATACATAAGATGCTGCAGGTGCTTTAATTAGAGTGGCTCTTAGAGCCACTTTAATTAAAATGCTCTGCCTCTCCCCCCAGAGCGTATGTAAAAACACCCTATATTCCTATAGAGATTTATACCTGTATAACTAAACTTGCAAAAACCTTTGCAGAGGTTTTTCTGGGGTGATGAATACATTTCATCTCAGTTAGGAAGGGTGATAATCCGGGCCCACTGAATGGACCCACAGTTCTCTTGTCAGGTAGGTCCAGTGCCTGAGTTCAATGCTAAGCTGTACTAAAGTGCAATCTTGCCAGATACAAAGTAATGCAAGGAGAAAGGAAGGGTGGTTAGGGAGAGGCCTAGAGCACAAGGCTCCATGATTCATGTCCCTCTGTGATTGTATTTTCATATTTACTGATGCAGAATTAAGTAGTGGCAACCACAGCAGCAACAGCAGGCAAGCATGGTGGTAGATGCAGGTGCAGCTCAGCTGCAGTTCCTAGCTTATTGAGGAGACAAGTGTCCAAGGTGCCTCTTTAGCTATAGGAAATGTTGTCATCAGATAGCAAATTAAAAGCTTATACCTTACATATAATAGGAGAGAAAGAAAGGAAGAGCATTTTTGTTCTTTAGGTTCTATTTATGAGTGCTCACATTCCCCAGGTGCAGTCTTTGTCAATGTGTTAATGTCCTGGAGGAAGCCTGAGAGGTTTATTTTGCATCAACATAGGTGATTCCATTATTGTTGTGGCTAAAAAAAGTCATAGCCAGGAGAGGAGAAAGCCTCAAGAGTAAAGTCTGCAACTGCTGAGGCAAACTCCCACCTCAGGGCACCCAACCCTCTGCCGCTTGGATTGAATGCCACTGCACCAAGTAAAGTCTGGAGTATGGAAGATGGTTTCTCAGACTCCCAGGTTCCAGAGTAACATCACTACCTGGATGGCTACAAAGAGGCCACATTTTCAGTAGGTGGAAATCTTCAGAGCTGCTACGCCTTCAATGGCATGACACTAAGTTATACCAGCCCAGGACCTGCCTCACATATACCCTCAAATATATTTAATAAAAAAAAAAAATTACCATAAGAGAATATAAAGGGTGCCTGGCTGAGCACTCACAAATAAGATGGTAAAGCTAGGGCTGCTTGAAGGTGTAAAGGTGGGAAAGAAGGTCCAGGGAGTCTCTGCCACCTCCACGTCTGAGCAGAGACAGAACAGATGTCAGTCCTTGAACCTCCAAGGCACAGGAACTAGTGCCTAGTGCCAACAGCAGTACTAAAAGTCTAACAGGAGCAGAGATGAAAGGGCCAAGTATGTGTCAGCCTCTCCTTGACTTAGCCACAGCTGGTAGAGTTGGGCCAGGGCTGGGGAGTGTATGCTACATTCTGTTAACAGGAGTAGGAGATGCATAGTGTTCCCTGGGCACTGTGTAATTGTGCTGTGATTTTCCAGGGCTGCCCCCTATGCAGGACCAGAAAAGGTCTGCACAGATATTTATGTTGTGACTATCAGAGGAAGGCAGGCAGGAGAGAAGAGAAGCACACCCAGAATTAGAAAACAAATCCTCTTACCTTCTGTTGCAGGGAAGCAGAATAGGAAACAGAAAAAAAATAATTATTAAGTTTTCCTCTTTCCTCTTAACATTTTAATGTGAGCAAGGTGCTTTTGAAAGGAGGTGTGGGGCTGGTGAAATCAGGACAGTACAGGGAGGTAAATGCACAAGTTTCCCTCCACAGCTCTGCTCATGCATCTCAGTGCTCTGAGCCAACCCTGCATAGCCACTGGAGAGGTCAGATCTTAGAGGTGAAAGGCAAAGGCTTCTATCATGATTCAGATTTGCCTATCAGTGGAAAAAACATTTATCTTTCCAACAATGAATAGACAAAGGGTTATTTACTTCAGCTGTCCCCGGCTATTGGCTCTAAAACCTCCATCTTCTCACTGCAGATTTAAACCTCATCTTGTGTAAATTTTAGACATGAACATGACACTTACAGTCCAGTGAGGAAAGCAGCTAGCACTCTGACAGCTGGGGCAAGCTTCAGTGGTGGCTTGGCTATGTTTGTTTTGGCCGAACACACATCATTTTTAGAGTCAACAGATGCACCAAAATTGAAACTACCACATTTAGTCTTGAAATGACATGTGATGTCTGGCTGAAAACAGGCCATAAGGAAATGGTCAGGAGTTCACATCTCTGGACTAGATGGCCAGGTGGTGTATGCTGGCAGAACTATAATGATTTACATGAATTGGAGACCAGGCCCACAGGTCTAATTCTCCTTTCATCCCTTTGGGTTTAGATGTTGCACCACAATGTGCAAATGTCCCACAGATGAGAGGTTGGCAACTGTTAGTTGCTACACTGACAAGCTGCTGAAAACCAGCTCTTACCTATGTGAAAACTGCTTAAAAGTGGTAACATCCAGATTCCAACCATGTTTTTTTAAGGCCAGCATTACGCTATACAGAAACTGAAAGCACAAGAGCCCATATTTATATATCTGACCTGTAACATGGAGCTTGCACACTAAGAAACTTTCTAGAGCAGTGGTTCTCAACCTTTTTAGACTCAAAGCACCTCTCAGAGGGGGCCTACTGCAGTCCACCCTCCCTGCTTGGAAGCTACACCTCTGATCATGTGGGTATAGATCACATGATAACAACCCTTCTAAGTGGCTGATGGCCAGAGCTTTGTTGCCAGCTGGGGAGGATTCCTTCCAAGAGAGAGAAATGAAAGGCTATTACAGTGCAATAAGCTTTTGTTTTGCTTGCTGCTGAGAGATGGGCTAAAGAACAACAGTGAAAACAGCCAAAATCCACTCACCACTGTAGAGTCAACTTTTGGCCCCCCATCATCTGCCACGACCGTTAAGATGTACAAATCCCCCTTCTCCCGATCCACTAGGCCTTTGACAGTGATCACACCCTGCCAGGGACAAACGGCCATGAAGATCATGAACACCCAATGCCATGCTTACTGACCAAGCAGATGGGCCACCTATTAGCTACTTACAGTGACTCCATTGATCTTGAAGAGGGACAGTGCCTGAGGGCTGGTGTTGGGGTCAAATTTATAGGTGATCTGGTTAAGGTTGTCAATGGAGCGTGCCTGGACTCGCAGCACCTCAGAGCCCATGGGGATATTTTCCATGATCACTGCTTCATATGTGGCATTTGAAAACTGCACTGCCTCATCCAGTTCATTGAGCAGGCTGACATAGACACTGCAGAAACCTTGGTTGTTGGGAGGTGCCTGGTCTGTGGCAGAGATGTTCATCAGGTAACTGGTTTTGGTCTCATAGTCCAGGTAGTCGATGGTAGTGATGAGGCCAGTGCTCTCATCAATTTCAAACTTGCCCTCAGAGCCAGACAGGATTTTATAACTCACCAGGCCTCCATTCCCTGGGGAGCAGGAACAAAATGATCAGAGGTATACTGAGTTTCCCTGAGAAACAGGCAAGGCCTAAGATACCAAAGCTTTATACAACATGGTCCGCATGCCAGAGGCCTGAAGGATGCCCCACCATACCTCAGATGGAGTAGATTACAGATGTCAGGGCAGGTTACCTCTTGCTCACATCACAGCTGGTTTTATCATTCCTTTTAGCTTTTAGATGATTTTGCCTGCAGGTTATCTAAAGGTGCTAATGAGATGGTGTGACAGCATGTCTCACCTCCCTGAGGACACATGTGAGGGAGCAGTGACAAAAAGTTCAATTGCCAAAAGACTGGGCTACATGGTCTGCTTTAAAAGGTCCCTGAATCAGAGGAACTGGACACTCTGTGCCCACTGCATTCTTATGAGAAAAAGGGAGGTGCAGATATGCCCACAAAACACAGGATACAGAGGGTGAGATCTCAGAATAGAAATACAGAGGTGGCTGCATTTTGCAGCTTAGCACGACTTCCTCACCTGTGTCTCGATCTGTTGCCCGGACAACCGCGACAGAAGTCCCAATCCCTGCAGTCTCTCGTAGCCCCAGACGGTTGTACTGCCGTTGGGTGAACACTGGCACCTCATCATTTACATCTTCTACATACACTATCACCTAGAAAAGCCCCAAAACAAACAATTAACATACCATGCCCTACCTGGAATTTTGTTTTGAAAAGCAGGAGAAAACAAGATCTATTCTGGGAGTTGCTGGTTACCATTTCTCTACAGACAAATACTGAGAGATCCTAACATGTGAGCACTCACAACTCCAAAGGACAACAGAAGAAAACAAGTGAAAATCATAACATTCCCTTATTTACTCATGCCATTCCAATAAAAATAAAAGAAAAATAGTAGCTAGGAGGTTAACAACAGCAACAACATAATTTTCCAGTGTTGTGTGTTTTTGTCAACATGCCACCAATTTTTTAACACTGTTATTAGGTTTATTTACAAAAGGAAATGTTACTTATTTATGTTATATATTATTTGACTCACAGGTTTAAATTGTACACCTGATTCCTGTGGAACCAGTAGTTTAAATTTTGGCACACTTGGATGCCAATCATTATCTTTCTGAGGCATTCCATGTATTTCATTATGTGGGAGTCACTGGGATGAGATGTAAAAAACTGAGCTCTTCTTTGTGCCCCGTAGACATTTAAGATTTTATGGGAAATTCTGTAAGTGTTGGAGTCCATTTCAATATGCAGGTCAAAACACTCTTCCCCTCCACTCCCCATGTAAGTTATGCAGAATACTGCATTTCGGTCAGCTTGATCCTGGTCATCTGCTTTGAATTGTATTGCCTGTATGTAGCTCTCAGTCCTGCAGTCAGATCCAGGCAGGTACAGTTTGCATCCACAGTGAGCCCTGTTAAAGCCTGTGGGTCTCCACACTGGTGTAGAGATTGCATGGATTCAATATCAGGGCAATAGGTCTTAAAGTATGGTGGTATCCTTCCAAGGAGGTACAGTGTTTTGCAGGTGATACCAATTATTCCTACTAGATTATGTTTTATTTAAACATGCCACTAACCAGGCATACTTATTTTCAGATAGCAGACAGAGCTGCTAACTATCAGAGACACAGCATGAAAATTTCAACAAGAAGGCAAAACAGTTGAATTCATAAAGAAGGGTAGAATTATGCACAACTAAGAAAGTAACAGGCAAATCTAGCTGAAAAGTTAAAATGCTTTTCAAAATAATGTGGTGCCCATGGGTATTTTGGTACAGTCATGCACCTCCCTTTTTTTTTTCTAACTCATAACTAAAGACATTTGGCATAAGCCTTTTCTGATGGCATGAAAAAATTCCACTTGCTGGCAATTTACTTGCTATTTTTCAGCCTAATTATGCTATGAAATGTCACAGAAAAGAGGCACCCAGAGAATTTCCCTCAGTATTTCCACCCTTGTTTGCTCAATTTTCCACCTAGGGGGTGGCTGCACTGACATAGGTGGAAATTACTGACATTTGACGCAACTGTGCTAGAAGTTTGCACTAAACCTTTCCATGCCTTTTTGTTGTTAGTGGAGATCAAGTCCTGAGTTCTTTGCTGCTTGTGCGGATTCCTTATCATCATCTCATTGTCTGCTGTACTCTGATGTACTGCCCCCTCCTTCAATACTATGGTGTAGCTCTGCTACTACCCCTTCCTTCCTCCCCTCACACTCCCAGACCTTAGTAACGTCCTCACCCTAACAGAGCTCCTCATTGGTCCTTGCTCACTGTTGTATGCTTCCACCTCCAGGACGTGGGATGAATTGCGCTCCCTGTCTAGGGGTCTTGAACCTCGCATGACCAGCCCTGTGCTGGGGTTGATCCGAAAGTTGTTATTTTCATTTCCTATTGGCAAACACAGAAATAAAACACAGTACAGTACCCATCAGGCTAGTCTGCACTTGGAAGAAGCACCATGGGATCACTACATGAAGCACAGTATACCTGGGGAAGTGAATTGGAGATCTCAGGTGAGTCATTCCTATATATAGTGCTGTAGAAGACACGAGGCCCAAGCATGCTTGAGTATCAAGCCTCAACCATACTAAACAGTATTGGGTACAGCTTTCAAAGCTAGTTTATCTTTCAGGGTTTAATTCCTATCCACACTACAGATAAACACTAAACTGCAACCATTTCTAATAGGTCTGGGCACAAGAGCCCATCTTCTTTGTAAGACTTAAATAAGACTCTAGAACAGCGGTGGCCAGCCTGTAGCATTCATGCCACAAGTTGCACGGGCATCCTCTGCCTGTGGCATGTGGCCGATCACGGAGGGAGCAGAGCAGCAGATGGGACATGGGAAGGGGATCAGAGTGGTACTTGGGAAGATGTGGGGCTAATTTGTGGCAAGCCTGCCAAAAAGGATGGTCCCTACTGCTCTAGAATGTGGTCATGAAAAATTTAAAAAGTGTGGATGCAAATTGTGCCACTTACCTAAAAAGAGCTAAAAGACATTAATGCAGACTGGGTTATAAGAGGTTAAAACTACAGTGTAATTACACTGGAATAATACTTTCTGAGAACTACCTGTTGCCACCTGTTACACTGCTCTCAGTCTCAGTGATATAGGTAGTCTTCCAGTTATGTGACATTGGTAGCTATTAGAAGTATCAAAAAAGCAGACTTACAGTAAACTGGTACAGTGCATCTGCCTGCTAAACTGCAATTACTTTAGCATAACCCACATTGTTAAAAACCAAATTCTTGCTGATGAATGTCAGAATGAATGATGAAGTTTGGCATAGAGGGGAAAGGGTGTGTCTGTTAGCTGCAGCTTATGATGTGAATAACATAGTCATATCACATGAGACCTGCAGCCTGCTCACCCAGCCAAAACAGGAGAGTGAAACTTCAGTTATCTGTGATCCCATGCTGCAAAGAGAAATCTTGACTTACCCTTGACAATCCTGTACCATACTCTTCCATTAACTCCTTCATCTGCATCTGTGGCTTGCACCTATATGAACAAAAAAATGCCAGTAAAGGCCAGTGATTTTCTGATTGTGCCCAAAGTCATTCCTTTCCTCTGCTCTCAGGCACAGCTCAAATCAGCAATCCTCAGATAAATGGAACTTCCCTAATTTTTCAAATCCTCTATGGCACAACTTATGTAGTCTCATTTCCCATTGAGTTCAGCATCACAAGGTCAACAAACTAGCCTGTCACCTCTGGAAATCTCATGAGCTGTGGTTTGAGAGCAGGCAAGCTCTCTGTTGCTCTGAACTGCACATGATAAATAAAGCGCTACTGAATTACTAAAGTGGACTCCCATTAGTAAATCACCAAATAAGGCAAATAGAAAAAAACCCATCCACTTAATCTAGGTATGCATTGGCAGTCTCTAATTGGTCAGACTGTGTCTAGGAGCAAAGCACAAAGCTCAGCCAGAGAAAAACAAAACAGGAACATTATGCAAGAAATCACATGTACACTTTCTCACCTCTCTCTCTCTTTCACACAAATGTATGCCACACCTGTCCAGTGCCCCTTGCTTAACATTAGCTCATATCATCTAAACCACAGGCAATCTGGCACAGTCTAGGTCACAGTGGAAGCAAAATAACTGTATTTCATGGGTCTGAATACCGTCTTAAGTTGAAGCTGTCTGCAAGACCAGATACTTACGTTGTGCTTGCAACAGGTTCACTGAAATGCCTCCATTCAAGGGAGCTAGGTGGTTCATAGAATTGGTAATGGGTTGAGGAGCCTTTTGCATCTGGGCTGCTAGTTCATACTGAATCTACATCAGCACTCCCTATGTGTCACCAGGATCTAACATTCCAGGAGGTCAACTTTCTAGGGGATAAGTGTCTATATCACAAAACTCTGGGCCCTAATTTTCACACTTGCTGGTTATCTAAGCAGATATGAATGGAGAGAATTGTCACTGGGATTGAACCACACTCCCATGATTAGAGTTGGTCAGATTGGAAGCAGACTGATGGAGATGCCTGGACTGCTTTTCTACATCTCATACCAAGTCCTGTGAGTATACAGATGACAACTTCCATGATTGTGACAGCAACAGTAAATTTAACAAAAAAATAACCGAGAACAGAAGTCTGGCTATACGTGCTCTGATAGCTGTGAACAAATCAATTAAAGTGTCAGGAACATAAACACTAAAGGCTCATTCAAAAATATTGTGGCTGTGAAAGATTAGCATAGAAAGAAAAAAAGGGGAGCATGGAGTGGACACTTTCCTGTTGTCTGTATCTTTCTGTAGCCAAAGCTGTAGATAGTTTAAGCCAAATCAAGCTGCTATGGCTTAACTGAGGCTGAAAATCAGAAGAGTGAGGTTCAGGAACTGCTTTCTAATGGGACAAGTGGGGCCAAACAAGTTAACTAGTCTTAAGAAAGAGCTTGATAAATTCCTGAATGGGATGATACGATATGGCTGCTTGCAATAGCAGGGGACTGGTTTTGACACTTCAAGCGTGTTTTCCAGTCCTATGTACCTGGGTTGCAATGGTGTAACCCAAAACTCCACACCAGGAGTGATGTCTATTAACATGTTTTTCAATTATCTTAAAAAGTGGGGAGAATTCATAGATAAAATAATTTAGCTAAGAGGAGAGAAGACTGCAAGGAACTGCAAAAAACCTAATTAAGATAGGGGACTGGGTGGTATGCTCACAGATTAAAGTCATAGTTGACAAGTGCAAGGTAATGCACAGCAAAAGGAATAAGTTGAATTGCTCTTGTGCATTGCCAGGGTCTCAATTAATTCTAATGCTAATTGAATAATTGCACTTAAAAAGAAGTTATTAACAGCTCAATGTCAAACTGGGGGGAAGAAGGGTTTCCAAAGTGTTTGTCTGGGGTCCGGAACAGTTCAGTATCTTCATTAATGACCTGGAGGATGGCAATGAATACATACTTAGTAACTCTACAGATGACACCAAGCTGTGTGGGGTAACAGATACTTTAGAGGCCAAAACTAAGATTCAGAAAGACCTTAATACATTGGGGAAAATGGTCAGAAATAAGAAGGATGAAACTCAGTACGGACAAGTACAAAGCACTGCACTTAAGAAGGAACAATCAACTAAATAAATACAAAATGAGCCTTCTGGCAAGGCTGCAGAACTGCTAGAAATGATCTGAGATTAGCACAGTGGGGGCCAAAATTTGGGGAGATCTGCAACAAATTAGCACCGCACACTCCCCAAGTACTATTGTGATCTCTTTCCCTGTCTGATCTGCTGCTCAGTTTTTTGCTCCCTATCTGCCCCTGTGCTGCCTGTCCCCTCCCTGGTCTGCTGCATGCCACACACGCAAACTGCCTGAGCCACTTGTGACACCCATGCCACAGGTTGGCTACTCAAAGCTGAATGCAAGTCAACAATAATCCAGTGGCAGAACAAGCTAATAGTATACTAGGAGATATCAATATAAGTGTCACATATGAATAATTAGAAGTGCTTCTTCTACTCTATTCAGTGCTGGTGAGATCCCAGTGGAGTCCTGGGTCCAATTTCAAGCATCGCACCTGAAGACAGACAGACTGGAAAGGGTCTAGTAGAGAGCAACAGAAATGTTCAGAGGTCTGGAATGCATGGCATAGGAGGACAGGCTGAAAGAACTGGGATTATATAGTGTAGAGAAGATGGGATTTCATAACAGTTTTCAAAAACAAAAAGGAATGGTAATAAATGATGTCAGTAAACTCTTTTTTGTGTCCAAAGGGGAAGGGTAAGAAGTAAATGGCAACAGGGGAGATTTAGGTTAGACAGTGGGAAGAATTTTGTCAGTATGTGGGTGGTTAGGAACCAGAACAGAGTGCCTAGAAGGGCTGTGGAATCTCCCACATTGGAAGTTTTCAAGTATAGGTTAAATAAGCATTTGCTTGGGGTGGCTTAGGCATGGATGATCCTGCCTTGAGCTGGGATTCAGATCTGATGACCTCTTGAGATCCCTTTCAGGCCTACTTTGTTATGATTCTGTTTCAGTACAGACAGTTCAATGAAAATCCCTGCTCAACACACAGCAGCTGTTGAATGATGAGCAACAGGGTAGGATCACAAGCAATATGCTAGATAATAAACCCGAAGACATTTTAAAGCTGTAGGGATTTTATATCCATGGCATGCCATCTCCTGCAATACTTAGTTCAGTTTTAGTCACACTTCTTCTATAAAGATTCTAGAGACAAGAGAGGGCGACAAAAAGGACCACTGCTGAAAAAAGACCGAAAGCAACAGGGCTGTTTTGTTTTGACATAAGATGAGTAAGAAAGTACATAATGTACATGATACAGAGGAATGAACTGTAAAAATTGTGTGCTTCTATTTACTGTTTTTGATATTAGAAAAACAAAGTAATACTCATTAACCTGAAATGTATCACATTAAAATATTACTATAATAAATAGCAATTTTTGGAATTCCTGCACGTCAACCTTTTAGTTATTAGATCTACCATAAGAACTTCATATAGATAATGGCAGCATCTATGGTTAAGATATATATAGAGGGATAGAAGTCTGCATGGCCAGGGCACAAGCAAACAAATTAGGAAGAGGGTGGCAATTAGGAAGAAATTATCCATTTAAAGGTTTCTTCTTCTGAAGCACAGGTTCCTGGACTGCATGAATCATGGGTCTGATCTAAATGACCATTCCCCTATATCCTAAAAAAACAAAGGGTTGAATGAAACATTGCCCAACACTAGGAGAAAAATAACACACTGGTACCACCTGGTGTTTCTACAGCAGACTGCAGGTTTCCCTTGCCCTGAGCACTTTCCAGGAACCCATCCTGAGAATACTTTCAGCCCTGTCTGCAGAGCTGCTATATGCAAAACTGCCTGAACCATAGCTGTTGGCAGCCTCAGAGCAGGATGACAGAACTCAGAGAACATGATTAGCTACTATCCCATACCCAGTATGAAGCAAGCTACCCTTTTTCTCCCCTTGTCCCTCCTTTTTATGGACCATCTGGAACAGATGTGAACAGCAATACAAACTACTACTTCGCAAAATGCCTGCAGTGACTACATGAACTGAAGTACAGGTCTTAAAGGAGTTTTCTCCACATAACTCTTTAGCTGCATTGCAATATAACTTTAAACTTTTAATTCTGGGTAGGCTGCATGTTCCACCTGAAAACACTGCTGAACATTCTCTTTTATGATGCAGTAGTAGATTTGCAAAAGACCCTCCTGATATAGCACTATGGAAAGGGTTGGACTTTGCCTTGTTGGAAAACAGACTAAGATCCAAATGGTCACCTTACAAGGATGTCTCAGTTCTTGGATGCCCAGCTCCAGACACCTTGGAACAGGTTTTCACTCAGAGGTGCTGAACAGGTCTGTATAATGTTAGTGGACCAATAGCATTTCTGAAAATAAGGACCTTGCTGCCTTGAATTGGACATCCAAAAGTATAGGTGCTGCTGGTTAGTGCATCCTTTGCCAATGCCTGGTTTCCCTTCTTGTATCATACTCAGACACATGTAATCCGGGTGGCAGCCCAATAGTTGCCAGGCTATAAGAGACACAGGGAGCATGGATCAGCCAGATCTGCAGCAGGCATGTAATTCTTAAATTCCTAAAAATGTCCTTCCATTGGCATTTGTGAAATCATTTGTTTTCACCAAGCTCATCCTGCTGCGCAGCCCGGCTCCTTCCTCTGCTGGAATGCTGGGTGAAGTCACAATTGAGGGCTTATAATATCACTGGAATGATTGTGAAGCAGTAGAGGCCAACCTTTTCAGCAGGTGTGCCACAGATTAGCCTTGCACCCTCCTCAAGTCCCATGGTGATCCCCTTCCTCTGCCAGATCTGCTGTTCTGCTTTCTGCTTCTTGCCTCATGCTCCCTGTCTAATCACCTGTTCCACTTTGTCTGTGCTCCCTGCCTCCTGCCCTCATTACTGCTGTGCTGCCTGTCCACTTCCTGACTGTTGTGTGCCACGTACAGAGGCTGCTTGTGCCACAGTTGCCTCCTCACCCACTAC